ATTGATATATGTTTGTAACACCAACAAACCCAATGTGCCCGGTCTTCTAGTTTTATAATTGAAACAAGTGATCTCATCCACGCTTTCGTTTTAAAACACCATTTAGCTGCAACCTCACCGACGAGTAAGTGATCTGAAAATTTGGATCTGTTCTAAATTGGTTCCTATTTTCATATTTGTGTTTTAGCTTCTGAAGATGGCAATATAGTTTGTCGAAAGCTCGAGATTCCGGCAAAAAAGTTCACTAAGCTTTAAGTTTTGCCAATTCTCAATAAACAATTTAATTGTATTGTTTGCCCAACTAGTCGTTGGCAATGGCAGTGGCAGTGACCACTGCTCGCATTATATATATATTTATATATATATATATATATATATATATATATATATATATATATATATATATGCAACCTCAGCGACGAGTAAGTTGTCTGATAATTTAAACCCTTCTCGTATTGGTTGCTAGCTTCATATTAGTATTTTCAGCTCCTGAAGATGGCTCCAAAGTAAAGCCGAAAGCTCGACGACGGTTGCAACCTCAACGACGAGTAAGCTGTTTGACAATTTAAGTCGTTCCTGTATTGGTTGCTAGCATCACAATTGTGTTTTCAGATCCTAATGAAGACTCCATAGGGAATGCCGCAAGTCTAAAAGTTTGCCCATTTCCCAATTAACCATTAATATCATTTTTTGCCCAACTGGTCGTTGGCAATGGCAATGACTACTGCTCATATATATAACACAAAAAGTAGGAAAATAATGGGCAAAATCCGCAAACAGGAGGAAAGTGGATTCGAGCAGAAAATAGGATAGGTAACCCGAGCGATACGTATTTCTGCTGGTTGGCTTCATCAGGCCCGAAATGAATGCACATATGAAACTACAAAGGTAGATAGATACACATGCATACACATCCGGAAACGGGTGTAACCTGAGGAAACGAAGTTGGAGGGGAAAAACGATACACGAAGTCAACAGCAAGAGCCAACCTACACATTGTAGTATAAAATGGCTAGAAAATCTCGAATATATATATATATATATATATATATATATCAGTCATTGCCATTGCCAACGACCAGTTGGGCAAGAAATACAATTAATTTTTAATTGGGAAGTTGGCAAACTTTAAGCATAGTAAACTCTTTTGACGGTAATCTCGAGCTTTCTACACGCTATGGTGCCATCTTCAGGAGCTAAAACGAAAATATGAATCTAGCAATTAATTGAGAAAAGATTTATATTTTCAGAAAACTTACTCGTCGGTGAGGTGGCATAAATATATAACAAATATCAATCAATCAATACCTTCTATTAATCGGTGATACGATAGTAAATATTTTCATGATTAGATCATAATTACTATAGGAGTGACAAATGTGATTAGATAGTGCAACCTACGTTGGATTCTATCAATTCGATATGAATGGGTAAGAGTAATACAAGTAAGTTAGACTTCTTGGAATTTTTGGAGATTTTACTTTTTTATCAAGCCCAAACACTTATGGGCTACATTTGTGGTATGTTACATCAAATGGTTCAGATTTATAGCCATATACGGGCTTATAGGGTTTTAAATACAGTTTATTTAAACGGATATATATATTACATGATAAATTTGTGTAATTATGTGATATAATCATATATTCAAAAATAATTAAGAGTATATCAAAATTAATCAAATATACAATTTACAAAAGAATTCACATTGATATATGCATATTACTATGTAATGGCAATGTTTCGTATGGGTAACTACCCACGCGGGCGTTCTATGTTTATTTGTTTTGTTCAAAACTAATTGTATTTGACAAATAAACAATATTATTATTAACCATTAGTATGCACAGTGCGTTCTCCACACCCACGTCTTATCTATCCAAAAAGATGGAGTGATCTGTCTTATCAAACGCTTTGCTAAAGTCAGTGTAGACAACATCTACCCTTCGTCCAGTGAATTACAAAGAATAAGTTTGTTTCAATGGAGCGCATGAGGAAAAAGTTCATCGACGGCTCCAAAAGCTAAAATATACACAACTTTTGCGAATCCGTGTATTATAAGCAGCTTTCCGTTTACTGGGAAATGTATTCGTATTCAACGACAAGTTTAGTAGAAAACAGTTGCTATAGCGCGCATTTTTTTATAAACAATAGTGGCATGTCCTCAGGCACAGCTAACCTAGATACATCTAAAGCGGATGTTCTTTCAAATGACACAAGATAATTCTTTTTTGAAGCTGCTTTTGAAATTAGGTATTTGGCAAATCATTTGATTTAATGTAAGCACTAGCAAAAGCATTACATCTGTCAGGTCCAGTTCTTGTCTCAGTCATCACAGTTGACTTTTTTAGGAACGGAAGAATGGTTTTTCCTTTTGCTGGAAACAGATGTAATGATTCCTCATAAGCCTTTTAGATTCCCCTATTGGACACAATTAAAAAATAATGAAGAAGTGAAACCGTGTTTATCAAAAAATAGTTTTTCTTAATTCTTCTGGTAAAATATTGCCTGTTTTTTCAAATTTTAGCGGGAGTGCCTTAGGGAGATCACGGTATCCACTTTACCCTCCCTAGCCTGAAATCCTAGGAGCACAGCTGTAAATAGGCTCAATGCTAACTTACGTTATCAATATAATAAATATCTGTCCTCAGGGCTGTCAAAGCATAGGTTTTCCCCATCATTTTGCTTTCAAATGGCTTTTCAAAATTCGGTCGTATTATTATTATATTATATACTTATAACAGAAAGCAGAGCTATAGGCCTGTACTTGTAAAGGTCGGTATTAGATCCTTTTTTTGGGATGGGTTGTACATGAGCAAATTTCCCGTTTTCTGGGAAGGTGCCGGATTCGTAAGATATCTGGAAGAGATGCGAAAGAACTTGAGCAAGCTTCGCTGCACATCTCTTAAGTACAATGGCAGGAATGAGGTCCGGACCAGAAGCTTTGTTGATGTCGAGCGACAAGACCACTCGTCTTACGGTCTTATGCCTGAATGTTACGTCCCGCATAGTGTGGGGAACCCCTTGAATTGAGGGCACTTGGCCGTTGGTGGTTACGTCCATGGTGGAGTTGGTAGCAAAGATCTTTGCTAGCACTTCCGCCTTGGCCTTTGAGTCAAATACAATAGTTCCATCCTGACACGTAAGTGGTGGAAGGCTACTGTGTGAGAAGTTCTTTTCAATCTGCTTGGCCAGCGTCCAGAAAGACCGACTGCCATTGCGCTGCGACATTACGACTCGACCTCGGCTTGTCTGTTCTCTACAGCGGGGTTTTGCAAGAAGGTTCTGTGTGCCTTGATCTTCTGCTGGTGAGCAGTGTCACACGATTTGTTGAACCAGCCGTTGGACCCAGGTTTAGGAACTTTCACTGTGTGAGGGATGTATTCCTCCATTCCGACGTGGATAATTTCTGTCATCGAAGAACAGACAGCCGACGCATCCATGTCAGTGAAACAGACATCTCTCCAAGGAAAGGTAGAGAAGTCTCTGAGCCCCTCCCAGTCGGCATGTCCGTAATGCCAAGTTTTGTGGCCTGTACGAGTTTCTTTTGCCACAGCGGGTTCTGTCCGAAACCTAACCTCCACAACATCGTAGTCTGAGTTACCCAGGAGGGACAAGACAGTAGTGCTGTAAGGGACAGGATACGCGGTCAGAAGAAAAAAGTAGGGCTCGTCACCAGCTGGGTCAGCCCTTGAGTAAGAGCGAACGCATCGACTGCACGACCTGCTGCATAGGTCTTGTTTGAGCCCAACCAAAGCATGTTATGGTCATTGAAATTACCGAGGAGAACTGCCTCTGAAGCGGAGTGATTGATGTTCAGGAAGTCGATCTTGACGGCGAGGTATTCGAGAAGGTCATCACAATTATGGTCCGAGGGAGAGCGATAAAGGCAACAAATAAATTTGGGTAATGTTTTGGAGTTGAGGCGAATCCACAGAATGTCCTTCCGGTTTGATTCCAAAGAAACATCTTTGGAGCAGGAAAGACTGCTGCGGACGAAAGCCACAACTCCCCCGTTCTTCCTCAGATTGGAGTTCACCTCGTAGTCTCGTAGTTTGGGAAGTTGAGATGGTTAATCGGTGCAGATTTTTGTCTCCGCATAACACACAGCTCATAATTAAAAAAAAACACATAAACTCACCCTAACTGAATGACCCCCTTCACCGTACCGTTGAACTATGGCAAAAAGGATGCTTGAATTCGCGTATTAATAAAGTACCTACTTATAAATCTAAAATAAAAAAAAACAGTGACGGCGGCATAAGAGATTTAACGGAGCAATAGAGGGTAACTGTTTGGTCAGAATCACATGCTGCTCATACAAGGGCGTATTTAGGAATCTGCCTAGGAGGGGAGGGCATCTGAGGTCACAGCATTCATGTTGAGGAATATATTCGTCCCTGGGCGATTAAAAACGGAAGAGCGAAAGGGCTGACGGCTGCAGGCTTCAGCACTTTGAAATTATTCGAAAAACTAAAATTTTGCGTGATGGTTTTCGCAAACGCAAATCAACGCAACATGCAGAGTGTTCATTTGAAAACTTCTCACCACGGATTTATCAAAAACCAGTGATAAAAAGAAAAAACGTCCATATTTATACTTTTATGCACATATCCAGCAAACTGATAAACTATTATTGGTTTCTCTGTCTACTATTATAATCATATACCGTGCTCACCATCATTCATCTCACCAGTGGTTGCATTTCAACCCATTTGCCTGCGTGTATATGGTTGGCAAAATAGTCAGAAATATATGGAGGAGAGCTCTGAAGCCCATTGATATAGCGGTAGAGAGCTGGATCGCCGACGGCAAAACGGTTCGTTAGAGAAGAGTCATGGATCAGTTGGACAGACAGACATCGATGTTGCTGTTAACCCCGCAGATGTTCGTGAAGGAGATTTTATCATCGATGTCGAGTCCACCCTCCACCCAAAGTGTGGAGTGAGTTTAGGTCCGGAATTCTTAGCACTCGAGGGATCCATCATCTCTGTCTGGGAATACAGAAGAAAACCGACTGCATAGCTTAAGCGTGGAAACATGCGGACATTCTTAAGATACTCTGGAAAAAATTAGCGGGTGGTACCGCCTCGGTCGACAATGTTTATTAGCGATTATTCGAGTAGCGGTCTATTCAATGAACTAGAAAAATGTACAGCTTATACATATTTGACCATAAAAAGTACTAGCTTCGCCACTGGAGTTTTACGACCTATGCTAACAATTTTATAACTTGTAATAATATAATATAAACTAATCCAATCAATAGACTTTTCAGTGACTTGCTAGGTCAAACTCCATATAACACGTGTGTTTCGCATATGTGAAAGACAAAACAAAGTGCGAAGTTCAAAAGCGTTTTCAGACTGTTTGCGATAGTGAAAGCGCGTGTACTGCAATTAAGGAGAAAAATTGTTTACGTTTTTTTGTCACCGAACTTTTTCGCAAACGTTTATTGTTTCCGGGGCCGGCAAACAGGATCAAAGGTGGCTTAGTTGCCAGGCTTCTCCTGCACCACCACTACTACTAGTTCACAATAACGAATATAAAAATCTCCTTCCAGGGTTTTAGATCGAATGGTTCGGCCTGGAGACGCGCCGGAAGCTTGGAGTGTCCGCGAAAATGTGAATTTCAACGTTTTGGTATCTTTCCCGTTAACTCGCTACTCCATATTATTCGTCATTATTCGTCAGAGCGGTCCGGTGGACCTTTGCTCTTAGTTAAAAGTCTCGTCGGTCTGTTAGTCTGTCAGGTCTGGCTACCCAGATACCAAACATGTTTAAGGGGAAAAGGGAAAGAAGGAAAGAAAGGAATAAACAGAGCAAAGAAAAGAAGTAAATCATTTGAAATAGCTTAAGCATTATTGCTTTGACTACTCGAATTATTTTGTAACTCCAAAAATAATTTTGATCGGTTTTGTATACTGAAATAATTTTGGCTGGTCTGAATTTACAATTTAATTTTGATCACAGTGCGAGGCGCGGCCTGGAATCTTTGCGAACTTGCTCGACTATGTAGTCTACTGAATCACGCAACAGAGGGTTGCCGTGCGATTCCGCTTGATTATAACGCCACTGCGCCTGTTGTTTTACGTAATCCCTTAAATATAGGATATCAAGATCTCTGTGAATAGTCTCATTGGACACGTACCAAGGGACGTTAGTAATTGTGCGCAGGGCTCTGTTTTGAAGGACTTGCAGTCTCTGCATGTGCGTCTTGGCAAGAAAACACCAAGCCGCGCATGCGTGGGTGATTTTGGGTCCTTTATACAACCGAATCTGGTTGATCAAACTTATTTTTGAATTTCCGCACAACAGAGGTTAAAGCTGCCGAAAGGTTATTTGGAATTTTGTTTTCAAAATATCAGTATGTTTCTGCCAGGTCAATCCCTTGTCAATGATGACTCCAAGATACCTGACAGATGATAAATGCAGGTTGTCTATTGTACTTCTATCGCCTGCAATGCCTGGGTGGCGCTAATCAGGGGACTTATTATTTGTTGAACGGACCTAAGCGCAGTTGCTAGGTCCACATTCTGCGTGTTCAAAGTGGGTTGAACAGAGGGGCAGCCGAAGATGTTGAGACGGCTGCTTCCGCGTCTGACTTGCTGCGTCTTTGCGCTATGACTTCCAGATTTCGCCTGGGAGTGAATCTGCAAGTGGGACTGTTAGCGGGATGCGCCCCTCCACAGTTTGCACACTTTCGCTCCTCTTGTCCTATGAGGGGGCATAAATGTGTCATGTGGTCGGAAGCACATTTTAAACATTTGGGAGGTGCTGTGCAGTAAGACTGCGCATGACCATACCTTTGCCAGCGGCGACACTGCCTAATAAGTCTAGAGTTCTTTTGAACTTCAACTCTGATTGCTAGACCCAGCAACTCATGTTCATTGAACAGCTGCTGGGACTATTCAATCTTGGGCAGTATCACGATCGCCAAAGGCATGGGTGCGCCGCCACTGCGTTTGAGTCGGATAATGTGGAGAGGAGTATATCCCCTCTGTTCTAATTCCCCTTTGATCTCCTGTTCCGAAAACATTGCGGGTATGCCTCTGACTACCGCGTGAATATTTCGTTCTGAAGGAAGAGGGAACGTATGATGGGACACGTCCTCCTCCCTGAACAGGCGTACGATTCTTCGGTAGTCATCCTCAGTTTTCGGCAAAATCCTGATTCCCGCATCAACGGCAACTGCGCGTTCTATCTTAATGCCTAAGCTTATAAAGGTGTAGTTTAGATGTCGCCACTTGGTCGCATCACGCAAAACAATGGACGTGATTCGCCCCTGGCGGGGTGCTGTGCTGATCAACTCACCAGCAACGTGAGATTGTTGAGATAATGCACTGTCAGTCGATGCAGTGGTCAAAGATTGAGAAGATGTGGTCGCTGCATCGACCGTCATAGGACAAGTGGCAGAAGAAGTTGATACGTTTAATGAAGCAGAAGGTTTTGAGGGGACTGTCAACTTGAATTTTGATTTTGCTTTTGGAAGAGGTGGGAAGTCATCCGTCTTGTCGGTTTTGTTCGTTTTGTCGATGCGTCTTTTCCTAGACTTGGCCTGGATGAATCCGTCATTCTGTATTTCATCGTCGGTCGATGTCACGTCAGTTAACTTTTCAAGAGGTCTTTTAAATTGACAGCCTTGTCAGATTTAGAATTAAAATTTGCATTATTGGTTAACTGTGTTTCCTGGGTGGTCAGGCAGTCTATTTTACTGTTTTGATCCCTAACTATCTCAGTCAGCTCCTTTATTTTGCTGGGCCTGGCTTTCGATGATCAAGGTTTGGCGCTGGATGGTTCCGTCCTTTTCGTCTGCTACAGCTGGTGTCAATTCCTTTGATTTTTTGGTAATTTCTGTTCTCTCCTTCTGGCTGGGTCCATTCATCATCGGGGACGCTGGGGGATCATTACTTTGACCTCCAGAGTCTATCTCCATGTTTTTAAATCGGGTTTTCTATTGAAAAACTTGAAAACTTTCACGAACAAAAATATGACGTATTGTCAATTATCCCTTATACAGGGCGCATTGCTCGCTACTCCTGTCATTGGAGAGCATAATATACAGGGTGATTCACAAGTCGTGAGCAAAAATAAAACATCATACACAGGTCCGCATTTATGTAACGTTTTTTCCTCGTGGGATTCATTAAAAAGATACGAAAAGGGTGTTGGAGTTGTCCGCATTCAAAAGTCTTTACTTTAAATTAACGTGTGCCAGTAGCGGAGATATAGGGGATTAGGGGCATTATTTTTACAAATAAAAATAGTACGCGTTTCTTTTTTTAGTAAAAATAAAAATAAACAAATTAGGTGATCAAAGCTTTATTTCAAAAATTTTTCAAAAAGACCACCATTCCGACGCCATTTTTATGACTACAAGACATCATCCTTTAAAACCCCGCATATGTTCCTAATATCGGATATCTCTTTTCTCAGACATGTGAATATTTTAACACTCCATAATTAGTGGCGTTATATTTCCAAAAGGTGAATTCGTTCTTTTGTTTATTATATGCCATCGGATCAAATAGATTTCAGACTTTTACTTAATATTAAATTCACAGGGCAAATGCATTTTTTCTCCATAAAACGAAATAATGAATTTAGTGAGGTTATGTGCCGTAATATAGGACAGTTAATATCGCATATCCGATACTAGGAACCAGTTAAAATAAAAATAAAAAAAAATGAAGTTAAGAAGAAACCAAAGGACAATATCCAAGGAAAGGGAAAACAGAAAATAGCTAAGCGATCTTTAAGCTCTTCTAGTGAAGATACCGAAACAGAAGTGCAATTAATTGACAGTGATTATGATATGGATAGAGATGAGGAAGACGCTGAGTGTCTATTCTGTAACAATTTTTATTATTTGTAACGCAAGAGGGGAATAATGAATAGGATGCAATCAATGTTTCCGTGTCTCATGAAGAATGAGCGGGGACTGACAAAAATTCAGCTTTTATATGTGACAATTGTTTGTATTCATTACCCATTTTATGAAATTTGTTGAGATTAATTACCAATTTTTCTCATTTTGTTAAGTTATTTTGCTCCTTGGTATTAAATTAATAAACCATGAAAATAAATTCCTTTGGCCTTTTTTCCAACCTTTGAGATCCTAATATCGGACATGTGGGATATTAGGAACACCTACTATCCGATATTGGGAACCCAATTTTAAAAAAGTACTTTTTGCACTCCAATGATTATTTGCAATTTTCAAAAAAAAATGATGAGTTAGAGGGATCTGCTTTCAAATTATACAAGAAGACATATTATAATTTTAAAAAAGTACTTTTTGCACTCCAATGATTATTTGCAATTTTCAAAAAAAAATGATGAGTTAGAGGGATCGGCTTTCAAATTATACAAGAAGACATATTATGTAAATAATTCCCAACATGTGCATTACTCTAAATATAAAATAATTATTGCTGGGGATTTTAATGTAATTTTTTTAGAAAAAGACAATCAACATGTTAAGGGTATTTTGGGTCTCTTTGCAAGCTATGATATGAATGAGTGTATAATAAAGCCTACTCGTGAGACTCTGCATTCGTCAACACTCCTAGATAATATATTTTGTAATCTTAACGTTGGATTTTCAAGCTACGTACTTAACTCTTCTCTCTCTGATCATCATGCACAAGTCATAAATGCAAATAGTCTATCTGTTCCACAGAGAACTAGAAAATTCATCTATAGAAGGGTCTTTCCGAGGAGTAAAATAGTTTCATTGAAACAAGAGATTGAAAAGACTGATTTTTCGCAGGTCTATGCCTCTCAGGATGTCAATGATGCTTATTGCAGTTTTCTAAATATAATCTGAAATTATTTGAATGTCATCTTTGTAGTTAAAAAGATAAATGTAAAAAATAAAAACAACCATTGGATTACTAGGGGCATACGAATATCCTGTAGGAATAAAAGAATTCTTTTTCCTTTTTATAAAACAACAAAAGGATTGATCTCCGATACATTCTTTAAAACTTTCTCGAAAATCTTAAAAAAAGTTATCACTGAAGCCAAAAAGATGTCTAACCAGAGTTACATTCGAGAATCTGAAAATAAAATAAGAGCAACATGGAGAATAGTAAAGAATATAACGGATAATGACTATTGTAGGAAATCAGTTTTGGATTGTTTTTCACAAAAATATGATGACCCATTCAGTATTGTTAACAATTTAAATATTTGTTGTCAACGCTTGTCCTGATATAACTGTTAGTCAACGAGAGGTCTTTTCCTGCGGAGGACGGATCGGTTCAATTTACCTTGAGCCTACAAATAAGAATGAAGTTCTTAAAGTAATAAATTCTCTAAAGAACAAGAAGTTGGTGGGAGATGATACAGTTCCAGTAAAAATCATTAAGGAAATTGCAAATTACATTAGTGAACCATTGTCTTATAATGGGTGATTTTTTTGCTAGTATATTTTTGGAAACACTGTTTTTGACAGATGACGCGTGAATCGTGTCTTGTGTCATTGTCAAACTTGTTCAGTTTCGTCTATAATTTAACCATGAATCCACTTACGAACGAACAACGCTTGCAAATTATTGAATTTTACTATCAAAATTCATGCTCGGTTAAGAGAGTGCATCGAGCACTGCTTCCAACTTATGGGCAATTTGATCGGCCTACTGAGGGAGCTATTCGGAAGCTTGTGACTAAATTTCGAACCCAGTTTACATTATTGGACATTAAACCACCAACACGCAAACGTAGAGTGAGGACTGAAGAAAATATTGCGGCTGTATCCGCCAGTGTTGGTGATGACCGTGAAATGTCGATTCGCCGCCGTTAGCAGCAATTGGGCGTCTGTTACTCCACTACGTGGAAAATTTTGCGACAGGATTTGGGTGTAAAACCTTATAAGATACAGCTGGTGCAAGAATTGAAGCCACACGACCTTTCACAACGTTTCCCATTTGGTGAATGGGCGCTGGCAAAGTTGGAGGAAGATCTACATTTTTATCGAAAAATTGTGTTCAGCGACGAAGCTCATTTCTGGTTGAATGGGTACGTTAACAAGCAAAATTGCCACATCTGGAGGGAAGACCAGCCAGAAGCATTGCAAGAGCTACCAATGCATCCGGAAAAAATCACTGTTTGGTGTGGATTATGGGCCGGTGGCATCATCGGGCCGTACTTCTTCAAAGACGACAATGGCCGGAACGTAACTGTGAATGGCGAGCGCTACCGTGCGATGATAACAAATTTTTTTTTGCCCAAAATGGAAGAGCTGGACTTGGCTGACATGTGGTTTCAACAAGACGGTGCCACATGCCACACCGCACATGAAACAATGGCCCTATTGAGAATTGAGAGGCGAGTTTGGTGAACAGTTTATCTCACGTTTGGGGCCCGTCAATTGGCCGCCTAGATCGTGTGATTTAACGCCATTGGACTATTTCTTGTGGGGCCATGTTAAGGCTAATGTCTACAGGGATAAACCAGCAACGATTGAGGCACTGGAAGCCAATATTGAAGCATTTATTCGTGAGATACCGGCCGATATGTTGGAGAGCGTGTTCCAAAATTGGACCTTGCGCCTTGGGCCATCTAAAGCGGAGCCGCGGCCAACATTTACATGAAATAATCTTTAAACATTAAATTATATCGACCGTTCTATCGACTCAAATAAAGATTTAATCGTTTTTTTCAAATTCTTTGTGTTTTTTTTTTGAAAATCAACTCCTATACCTCTTAAAAAATCACCCGTTATAATAAATTTATCATTGACTGCAGGAATAATTCCGGGTTTGTTGAAGAATGCAGTAGTTAGGGCAATACATAAAAAGAATGACCTTGATGATAAAAATAATTACAGGTCCATATCTCTTCTGCCCAATTTAAGTAAAATTTTCGAAAAAATAATTTATGGTAGATTAATAGGCTACTTGGAGAGGCACTCAGTTATTTCAGAGAATCAGAATGGTTTCATGAGAGGAACGTCTCCTATAAGAGCGATTTATCAGGCACTCTGACATCCTGGAATCATTGAATGATAATAAACTAACTATAATCAAATTCAAGCGGATAACCAAATGGAAATGGTATTTACCATTTTGGATTGGTATTTACCGATCCGTTCAAGCGAGTGTGGTTATCACTTTGGTTATCAGATCCATGACGTCATGAATCAGCTGTCATAGTTATCACCGCAAAATTGTGGTATTCACCTAACTCGGGAGTAGTTTTATATTTCTGGTTATTATTTGACAAGTGACAAGTTAGAATTTTGCCGGGTATTGAATATTTTTATTGTACTTCAGCTTCATTTTTAGGAAACTTGATACAGGCTGATTTCAGTTTTAGCATAAGAGATCACCTTATTATTTATAATCATTACTGTTGTTGTGGATACTTTAAATCTAGTTCCTACGCTTAACAAAGTATCCTGTATAGCCATATACCACAAGAATATTAAAATATGGCCGTATAAACTCACTGGATGATGTCCACCTGTATACGGTTTTGTTAATATCTTTTTTTCATCGCTTTTTCATCATTTCTGCTAAATCAATAAATATTTTCTTTGACATGCGGAGAAGTTTAGAGAATTGAAAGTTATCATAGCTACAAAGCCATGGTTCCATCAATAAAAAAATGTTTCTGAAAAAAAAACATTCCTCCCATTAATATTATGAAAGTTTTCTTTTTTTCAACTTTCCATACCCCGTTGTAGACGAAAAAGCACCGATTATTAAGTGATAATAAAAATAATCAGAAATTATATACGCGCTTTTCTAAAACAAACAACTTGCAACAAACCGCGGTTAAAACCAACGCGTTCAAGCGATTCGAGTAATTGACGTCATCATCCCGTGTGTCATCTTGAACCATATTATAACCGCGGTACATAATACGGAAATTTTGGTTATCCGCTTGGATTTGATTTATGGCTGTGTGCGTTGACTTGTCAAAAGCATTTGACAGCGTCAACCATGAAACTCTGTGTAGAAAACTAGAAACCTATGGTATCAGAGGATCAGCTTTAAGACTAATAGAATCTTACTTGAATAACAGAACTCAACAGGTAGCCGAGTTAGACTCTTGTGGTAGACTTATAATATCTGATAGGGTTAAGTTGACGAAGGGTGTTCCCCAGGGGTCCATTCTGGGGCCTTTACTTTATATAATGTATACGAATGAATTGTGTAGTGTGACTGGTCAAAACACCATTCTTTATGCAGATGACACCACCTTAATATTTTCTGAGAACGACTCAGAGAGTATGCTGGTGAGTGTGAGAGAAGCCTGCGATGCTCTTGATCGGTACTTTTCAGGCCATGACCTTCTGTTGAATGCGTTAAAGACAGAATGCATTATTTTTGGAAATACAATTGAACACAATCTCACCTTCTCATATAATAATACATTTTTTCAAAACAGCAATAACATATCTCTTCTGGGAGTAACCATTAACAGGAGGTTGGACTGGTGAGCGCATATCGAAGGACTCGCGGCGGACATATCTAAACTGAATTCAAATTCAAGATGAGATGTAAATAATAACAGTTAGCGCGTGATCTCTCGGTAACAGGTGGGGACAACGCCTTTTATTGGTCAATTCGCCATTAAATTTCAAGCGGCCGCCTGGCGGAATAATGCGCGGGGCAGGGGCAGGGCAGGCAGTGTTGCACTCAGGCCACCGTCCGTCGCGTGTATCACTGCGTGCTCTTGTTTTCGTATTCACCTTGTTTAGTTGTTGCTGTTGTTGTTGTTAAGTGTATTTGAGTAATTTGTTAAGTTTCTGTTTCTGTTAAATACTGTCATCTTTGTTTTACAACACGTTGGTGGTAGTCCATCATTCGGAGGTCGCCCTGAATGCGGCCCTGTACGCCGTCCTTGCTTTTGGCAATCACGCATCCATTCTATCTCGGGTGTAAATACACTATAGGTACTGCTACGCTCTGCGGGTGGTTTCAAGTAGGGTAGGTTCTGATGTGGCTGTAACGGCATATCATGCTTTTAGACACTCAAAGTTAAGGTACGGTTTAATATTCTGGAGAAATTCCACAGACATTGACAGAATTTTAATACTTCAAAAAGACGTATTAGAAGTATATTTAGTATGAAATATGATGAAAGCTGTAAACCGATATTCATAAAAACTAAACTACAGAAACCCGATCTGACAAATGTAATTATAGTTATATACAAAAGAATGTACAGTATATGATTGTTAAAATATATAACGCGTTCCCTGAAGCTGTTCGGAACCTCCCACTGGTCCGTCTAAAAAATGTATTAATTGAGTACTTATCAGCAAAGGCATTTTATTCGCTTTCTGAATTTTTTACTGATAATAGCAACAGCCTGAGTGTTTAGGAATAGTAGGTTTGAAACGATGGCAATGAAAAGAATTTGTAAATGGTATCACCTTAATGTTTAACAATGTTCTATAGCTAGCTTTAAGCTTATTTTATTATAACTTGTCTGTTCCTTTTGGAACAAATAAAATCTATCTATCTATTAAATTTCCATTTTCCGTATGCCATTTTTTTAGACACGATTCTGTTATAGTATAAAAATTAAAAACATACAAAAATTAATTTTCTGGCTTATGCGTGGAAAATAAAAAAATCAATAGAACATAGAAAATAGCGTTAATACCAACCAACAAAACTCCGCTTGTTCACTTCCCAGCCAAATGTTGTTGCCGACTCCGGACCGGTACAGAATTTAGACACTATACTAGACCATAAAAGACTAGACTATACCTGTTCCAACAGTGTTGCCGTTATCCTTTCTTAAAGTTACAGATTTTTTTATAAGACGTTCACTTTATACCACCTTTTCAAAGACTGCTCGAGTCGTCTGGCGCGGGGGGGGGGGTTATTACCCCCTTCACCCCCCGTGGGAGCGCCAGTGTCCAAACATGATCTAGAATTCAACATCACCCAAAGAGCGATGTTGGAGATGTTGGTTGTTAGCACCGATAGTTGGATTTCTAATACAGACCGACGGAAAATTTTCCTGATGTTTCATAATACGTCCAAAAGGCTCATCTAAAATTTGAAAATGTTCGGTTTCACAATACTTTCCTTCGCCCCTTTAGCAGCAAGTGAATACAATAAAACAAAAACATTTTATTTATTTTCATTTGCAAATAGGTTCAATGAAACAAAAACATGTAGGTATATTTTATTTATTTTCATTTGCAATTTGCAACTTCGAACCACAAAAATAAACACTTAATCTAAACTTATTTTAAGGATATACATAAAAGATTATACTATACATTGTACTTCATCGCAAGAATACTTCGAAATTATACAAAATTCGGTTTGCTCAGAGGTAAATATGTATATAATAACTTTTATAGAATTTATTCCCAGACTCAAACAAAAATACACTGGCATAGCAAAAAAAGCTTTGGAGGCATCATACCTTGATGCCGATTATAATTATATGGAGTGCTACAAATTCCTATTGCTTCGCTCTGGTTAATTGCATAGATGTTTCTAGATTTCACACAGGCTACATTTTTCCAAGCAGTCTAAAAATCTAATAACCTAATAATACATTGTTATATAATACCCAACTAACCTCAATTCTTCTATTTTGATACAATATTTGATACAGTACAAAAGTTATTGTCATTTGTTTATTTTTCGCAAAAAATGGTATAAGTTTTTCGATTGGACTATGTCAAAAAAGTGACGGGAAAAGATGAAAAGTGACCCTAGTACTTTAAAGAAGCTGCGAGAAAAGGAAAGAATGAAGTATTTGAAGAAAAAAGAAAAGGATTAAATAAAGCCTGTAAGTACTATGAATCCAAGAGAAAAACGGCAAAAAGGAAGTAATGGATAATGAATAGTGCAACTTACAGAGATACGAAGTTGCGCGAAAGTTTGACAGCACTGCTGGATGAAACTCCACCTGCGACTCCTGAATCATTTGCAATTTTTGATATTGTAACAAGAATGAATAGTACTGTTGGCGACAAATTTATGGGGACCGCGAGACTCTCCTTCAGTCGCGACATCTGTTGGGGACCGCGAGACTCTCATTCGGTGCTAGCGACGTACGTTGGGGACCGCGAGACTCTCCTTCGATGCTGGCGACCTCTGTTGGGGACCGCGAGACTCTCCTTCGGTGGCGACATCTGTTGGGGACCGCGAGACTCTCCTTTGGTGGCGACATCTGTTGGGGACCGCGAGACTCTCCTTCGCTGCTGGCGACATCTGTTGAGGACCATGTCAGGGACTTTTCTTCGAGATCGACGAGAAGTGACCTCGAAGATTCTAGAATGCCGCTATGTGGCTCACCGGAATCTTTTCGAATCAACGAGTCCCTGCGATGCGGACTATATAACTCGACGGCCGGGAGAGGGAAGGAGACTTGAGTATGGTTCAGTGAACTTCGCGACATAATAATTCGTGAATAAATAGTCAAACATAAACAGTTATGTACATAAATGTTCTATCTAGTCAATTTAAATAACTTTGCATTTCTTTTTGTGGAATCCAGGCCCAAATGAACCCAGAAAAACGCTACAATATTCAAATCAATGGTGTTAATAGGGATGTTGCTGCAACACGCAGGCGATTGCTTAGGAAACGTCGTGCGCGAATGTATATAGATTAGAAAAGAAATTGAAAAAAGAGGTTAGAGGGAGAGAAAAGTATAGAAAAGGGTACATAAAAATAAATAAACAAAATAAAATATCTTCAGCAGAGGCTAGGGTGGATTCACTTTTAAGGTTGTGACGCAGTGAAGGCAATGGATAAATTCAGCAACAGTGCAGGATAAAGTCATGGAAAGACTGAAAGATAAATAATTGAAGAGACTGATATGTCATATATTTTGTTGGTATAAGTGCCATTTATGTTCAATAGGAATATTCCAAAGATAATTTAGAAATTATATGTTCATACTTTGTGCTTTTTCTTGAAACAATGTTACAGTCTATTATCCACAGTAAAAACTTAATTTTTGCAACAAATCAGTTTGATTGACGTTTTTTCTCGTTAAATCGTTCTCTCACTGACCCATCTTTCCTTCACTTTTAAATTTTAGTTTCAGCCTCAAACTTTAAACTCAAAAATGTTGGGGACCACTATTACCATTGAGGGAGTTAATCCGTCTCGATCCACATCCAGAATATAGTTACAAAAAAACATAAATAAAAAAACATGACGATGTTATCAAAATCGTTTTTCTACTTTTTTTGAGAATCATGCAATTATAATTGAGGAGATGGAGGCTGTTTTATAATAGCATACGGTGTTTATGTTGTTGGGATGATCCGGGTGATTAAAAAACTCGAGGATACTTTTGCGTAAATTTGTCCCCGAACGATAAATAACACCAAATCTTCACTCGGAAAATGTGGTACACGAAAGGTATCTTAATTTGAATAATTCTGAAATGACGAGAAACGACGGATTTTTTACGGACAACGTAGATAAATGCCCTGATAATGTCAGATATAAACATGAAGCTAAATTTGCAGATAAAATCCTTGTCTAGTGCGAAATTTTTAACAGGGACGTATCCAAACCTTTTGTGGGAAGAGTAAGGGACGAAGCTTTGAATAGTCAGAGAATTTTTGGGCTTTACTGTGTAGGAAGGTTCATCATGGAGGCTGGGAAGCCCAAGAAGAAGAGTTGTAATTTATGATAGCTAGTTAGTATTTTAATAAAAAAATTCGATAAATATTTTGTGGCAGAACTTTTAGGACATACGTTATTTACCAAATTACAATTAGTGCTAGAAGGATGCCGTTACCAGCGCTGTTTTACAAAGTGAAAACACCACTGGAAAAAATAAAAAATGAAGTTCGGCTATTTTTTGAACAGACTTCTGAATAAGAAAAATTTTTGTTAATACCTCGCACAAGGTTTGTGTTATTCCATTACAGCATCTACTTACCGGTATTGGAAAACCCCTTCCATATATAAATTCTTTGAAAACTTAGTGCGTTGCTATTAACTGAAAAGTATAATTACTACAATTTGTGACAACGTGTGGTGTGAAAAGGTTATAAATTCCTATACAGTTATTTCAAAACGTTGAATGTTCGAGTCCTTAGATAAGGATATTTCAATCTGTCAAATACAACAATAACATAATATAACAATTTTATTTTCATTTAGATACTTTTATCGTTTCCAATTTACCTTACGGGCATCTTTGACTTGAGCACCATGTAGATATTTCTTTATTGATCAAACATTTGTGTAAGTGTTGTTGCTAAACTTCGCCACCATATGCAACTCTTGTTTCTCTGTATGAAATTGTACAGTTTAAATAAAGACGATTATTATTTCATAAACATTTAAATGAATACTTGAAACTTTTTCTGCATAAAAATAAGAAAATATATAATATAATGCGGGATGACAAAAAATTAAATGACAGTGTAACTCCTAGCGATAGACATCATTTTTATTCCGAAGCATCCTAAATAAGAAGCAAGTAACCCATGCAAACTTTCAGTCTAATAAAATATCATGATACGGTATCCTGACAAATGACTGACCATCGCTACTCTTACAGCCCTGTTTGTCCAACCGTCACCAACCTGTCAGTGATCATGTCCAAGATCCCGCCACACAAATTCCGTTCATTATGCTACGGTATTTAGACGGAATTCACACGGCCGGATCCCAGACACAGTCACCGACAAGTTACCGACCACTGTACGAACGAACCTTACATCTACAGATCCAATTTGAATCTAGTTTTTTTCAGCCACTCCTTTTGTAAATCTTGTTGAGCAATTTGAAGAAAAGCTCGTGAGGCAGTCCCTTGGAAATCTGCTGGATGTGAGTTCGAATCCTGTTGAAACACTCTTCTTCGTATGTCGCGTAGGTCGCTGGTAGGTTGAGTTCCAGGTAGAGGTCCTTTATCTGTTGACAACACATTTTTAAGAATATATCATATCGTCGGTTTCCGTACGTACCGGCGTACCTAACATTTTACAAATTTCACAGGGAAGCTAGAAAACGAAAATCAGCAATAAATAAGATTGAAAATGACATACTGATTTTTTAGATTGCACGTTGTTGTTTTTTGTTAGATTAAAATTATATCGAACTTTATTTTGGGATGGTTTAATTTTGTAAAAGTAAAATGAGTTTTAAAAAAATTTTTTTGCGCATTTAAGCCACTTCGGGATGACTCTTGTTTCTTTTATCGTGTAGTTACGCCAACAATTTAAAACTGGACATGGGGATCACAGTATCCAAAATACTGTTTCAATAATAAAAATTGTTTTAATCTGTACCTAAGTAGAAACAAAAAGGAAATGACCAGAGAAATAAACATTACACAACAATATTTATAGGTTATGTTTACGTATTATTAGAGACACATGCGCCGGTATACCCTATTTCACGAGTATCCATCACGGTAGAATGACAGCTGATTATCTAGTATATTGATTCCCAAAGTGGTCTATGACAACCTGCAAGGGGTCTACGTCAGCGAAAAAAAATTTGGGGGTCCATGAAATGAATATGGAGGTCCATGATAGTGGATCTCAACACATACACTAATAGTACCTATTTACTTACATCATACTATCTTATAATATCAAAACATATACATTATTTATAGAAGTACCTATGAAGTAAAAAATTTATTATATATGTTTATAAAATTGTGTAAGTTGTAGGATGTTGGTCTTCGCTTTGTGGTCGCAATACATTTTGAACTTGTAAAAACCTGAGAGTCGCAGTCTCAGAGCTTCGCTACCTTGCACTGACTTGTTCAATTCGTCACTCTATAAATACGAATGTGGGACAAATACGTTTATTCATTTTCTGAGTCTTGAAAAGGAAAGTGCTAAGAAAATATTTTAAAAAATATAAACAGATAGTATATCACACAAATTATAGTGAGTCAGTGTTATTTTGTTTGAGAGTGCTGGAGAAAAGTAAGTACATTATTTTTTATTAAATTTTAGTTTTGTACTCGTAGTTAGCAAAGATAGATAAATTACGCCAATCATGACTTTAGTTATTAGTAGTTAAATATTCAATCATGCAAAATTACAAGAGTACTCTTCAATAGTTTCTTTTTTGAAAGTTTTAGCAATCGGTCATATAATTGCAGTGCAATCTCCGTAGTTCGAGCTAATTGTTGCAAGAAGATGTTCGAATTATGGAATGTTTTCGGAAAAATCAAAAAATATTTTTAATATACAGTTGCTGGATTTTCTGTCTTATTTAAATAATTTAATTTTGCCCACAAATGACTGTTACCATGTCCGAATCTAAAAAGAAATGTAGACAGTACAGTGTTGATTATTTGAAATTTGGCTTTATTCCATCATTGCCGGACAAACAATAGCCTATGTGCCTTTTATGCAACAAAGTTTTGGGCAATGACGCTATGAAACTATCTAAACTGCAAGATTATCTGAGAAGATGCCACCCTGATAAAACAGAGAAAGATTTGAAATACTTTCAAACACTCAAAGATAAATTTCAGAAGAGACCTACACTGGACAGAATGTTCGCTTCAACGCCACAAAGAAATGATGATGGTTTGCGGGCGTCTTACAATATCTCGTTACTTATAGCAAAATCCGGAAAACCGCATACTATCGGAGAGAAGTTAATTTTGCCAGCCGTTGAAGAGGTTTTAAAAACTGTTTTACACAAACCTGCATCTGATATCATTAAAAGAATTCCCTTAAGCAACAATACTGCTGAAAGACGTATTGATGAAATGTGTTCTAATATTGAAAGCTTCTTATGTAATTATTTGCAAACGACCCATTTCTCTATACAACTGGACGAGTCAACTTTACCTGATAATGCAGCATTATTATTGGCATATGTTTGTTTTATTATGAATCAAGAAATCTACGAAGAACTGCTCTTCGCAAGAACTTTGATAACCGACACTAAAGGTGAATCAATATTTCATGTTCTGAAGGATTACTTCATTGAAAAAGCAATTCCTTTATCAAATATAATATCAGTAGCTACAGATGGAGCACCTGCCATGGTTGGACGTTATCGTGGATTTATAAGCTATTTAAAACAAAATGTGTCAGGGGTGTTAGCAATACATTGTGTCATCCATCGACAACATTTAGTTGCTAAAAATTTGAGTGTTAGATTGAATGAATCACTTCATTTAGTCATTGATGCAGTAAACCGAATCCGAAGCAACGCGTTGAATACGCGGTTATTTGCGCAGTTGTGTGAAGAAACTGACGAACACTTTCATCAATTACTCCTTCACACTGAAGTACGCTGGCTGTCGAAAGGCTTATGTTTGACAAGATTTTTTGCACTTTTTGAGACTATTTTAGAATTTCTGGATACTAAAGATAAAATTTTAAAAGAAAATTTAATGAAAAGGAAAACAGACATCGCCTATTTAACAGATTTGTTTACAAAATTTAATATGGTTAATTTGCAATTACAGTTTAAATTTGATTAAAACAAAGTCCATCTTATCAGCGTTTCTTGCCAGAGTTAAAGTAATGAATCAAAATATTGGACGGGGTGAATTTTCTCAGTTCCCCAATTTCTCACAGACAAGCTGCCAGGAAGACGACGTTTCAACTTACGTTAAACATTTAAATGCCCTCTATTCAGATTTTGAATCTAGGTTTGAGGATATTTTGACTATGGTAATACCACCGTGGATAATTAATCCATATAGTGACATAGAAGAAACAAATGCCAATACAAGAGGAACTGACTGAACTAAGTACTAACGAAAAACTTAAGGTTCAGTTTAAAAACGGATATCAGCAATTTCTGGCTGCAAAACAACCCGTTACTTATCCCGTAATATGGAATATAGCGAGGAAATTTTTAATTTCCTTTCCATCGTCATACCTAGTGGAAAGGGGGTTCAGCGCTGTTACCAATCTCCTAACGAAAAAAAGAAACAGACTGGACATCATTAGCCGAGGAGATTTAAGATTAACCCTTACAAAATTGACTCCAAATGTTGATAATTTATTATTAAAGCATCAGGTTCATCCTTCTCACTAAAAATATTGACTTATTGCTTATGTTATTTTATTTATAGTTTATTTTATGTTTATTGGTGTCTGACCAATAAATGCCCGCATTGGGAATAAGTGCCCGCATTGAATTTTTTAAAGAATCCCCCTTTATAGAAAATATATATTTTTTTAAATTATTCTGAATACTCAAGGATAGGTACACACTAAAATTCGTTAATTTTTTGCCTATTTTTAGATAACTTAAACGTATAAGAAGAGGAATTTAATCAAACTAACAGTGAAATTATTGTAGAACATACGTTTATGTTATAATTAATAAACGAACTCGCTTGTTGTACTATTTTAAGTAAAAAACTTTTTTTTAATATTTTGGTCTTTTTTTTCAATGCGGGCACTTATTCCCAATGCGGGCACTTATTGGTCAGACACCTGTTTATTTAATGTTATGTATATTTTACATAACAGATACAACATTTTAGTTTGAGTAGTTTTAATTTAAATTCAATTAATAAATGTATAAATTAACATGTATTTTTACTTTAAGTTTTTAACACTAAACTTCACTACAGTTAGAAATTTACAGGAAATCAATATCAGTCTACCCAACACGGAAAAACCTGGCAAGGGGTCTACGACACAAAAAAGTTTGGGGAACTCTGATCTAGTAGTATCTCAAAATTCCCCATATGGGCACAGGATACATAATTCTGACAGATTCGTCAGCGTCAGGTAGTCAGAGCCGTATTTTGTTTTGGTTTTTTGTACGCTACAGATTCATTTTGCACTTGCTAACGGCTCTTTTATTTAGAAAAGTTCATTTGCATCCAAAATACAAAACGCTACAAACAAGTTTTACTAGATTTACACCTCAGTAGACGCCAATGCGCGATAGATACTCGTGAAATAGGGTATACGTGCTGTATAATTATCGGTCAAATACAGAAAACCAGTTTTAATGCAGAGGCGTAGATCTATTTAATCACGTACGTGAAAATTGTTTTCGGAATTTTATCACATACGCATTTTTTTAAGAATATTATTTCCAAGCAGCAACCTGATATTTTTACGAAAACAGTGTACTCTAGGGAAAAATTGAAGGTAAAATTCGAAAAAAAAAAACAGTGACGTACTATTTTTATTTGGAAAAATAATGCCACGAATCCCCTGTATCCCCGCCACTGGTTCACCTTAATTTCAAGTAAAGACTTTCGAATGTAGAGAATACTTAAAATCTACATACCAAATTTTGATTTATTCCAGTTCACGGTTTTGAAGATATTAAAAACAATGTTTTTTATTTTCAAACTTCAACACCCTGTATCTTTTTGAAGAAGTCCTCGAGGAAAAAATGATACATAGAAGACCCCCCTTAAAATGCGGTGCTGTCTATGAAGTTTCATTTTTGATCACGACTTGTGAATTACCCTGTATACTTATTGGTTATATGAGGTTTTGTATTTGTAGTTTTGCCAATTAGAATGAAAAATAGAAATGTATCTACCAATTGAATTGACTTCTCGTCCGGCTTGCCATAATGCTCCTCCATAATTTTTCTTTGAGCGGACGTGGCCCTTTGTAAAGCCACCACTGCTAACCAGCTGCATTTACCCTCCTGGATATCGGTACCTTTCTTGCCCGTCAGCTCTGAATCACCGAAGCAGTCCAAGAAGTCGTCCTGCAATACAGACATCATTTACAGAACTTTGGAAATACTGTTTTAGGATTATATCGGTATGAAAAAATGCCGATACTCCGAAAATTAAATGACAGATTGCGAAATAGAGACTTAAGTTTAAACATTTTAATCAGTCGGTTTACGTTTTTTCTAAATTATTTACGTTCTATGCAGATCTCTGGAAAACCATCTTCGAATGGTGTATTATTTTGTGGGATGTGAAACTCTGTTCGCGTCGCCTTTGAATATCAACACAAGATTTGATAAAATTGTTTCTTTACTAGAGTGTTGATCTCATGGTTCAGCCCTGGCCCCCTTGGAGTAGAGCTACATTTATTTTATATGTTTTTCTACTCAATCACTTCTAACATCAATGCTCTTTTTTAGTCAATGGTCCTTCATTTCAATAGCAGTAAAAATTTACTCTCATCGTTTAAACTGCTTTTTACAATCCACAGAAACTTTCACCATTTTCGGCAACTCTCTGGAATACTTATTATTAATAACATTTATTTATTTAACAAATTAGGGACATCAAACAGAGAAAATCTCCAAAATAGACATCCACTAAATTGTGAGAATTCTTATTTATAATCTACATATGTGAAATATATATACATTCAATTCAGTGCAGAAAAAAAATATTACAATGAATGGGAACGTAGCTTGCAAGGGAGTGACCAACATTCTGTTGTTCATCAAGTATTTAAACCTTAATATTTCACAAGCAAAAATATCAGCAAATTTACCCTAGTTATTCAGACTTTTCGGCAAGTTTTGTCAATAGCAAATTATGATTAATTCGATCAAAAACCTTGCTGAAGTCGTGAAGTCGGTGTAAATAGCATCGACTTGGAAATTTCTGACCAAAGCATCGGAAATGAAGTCAGAAATACAAAACAAATTGGTATCCAGGCACCTTTTCGGAAAAAAACCACGCTGTTGCTAAATGATCAAAAGTATTTCATCATAAATTAGCTTTTCGAACATCTTCGAGAATATGCACAGCTTGCTACTAGCGCTGTAATTGTTCGCTATGTCCCTGTCTCCACTTTTAAAAATAGGTGTAACGGATGATTTCTTCCAAGCATCGGGGAACGTTCTAAAGAGGTGTAAATTAAAATAATAGGTGTGTATAGATTCATTTTACATTTTTTGATCAATATTGGTGGTAGAGTGTCAGTTCCAGCAGATTTGTTGATATCTAAAGTGTCAATACTTTCAAGTACTTGCTTTTAACAGATTGTTTTTCAACCTTTGGGTATGTTTTCGTCCAGAGGACTGTCGGAAACACTATTTGTAGGAAAAAACGCTAGTGAAGTACTCGGCAAACAAATTACAGATTTCGATTGGCTCATTAGCACTTTTGTTATTGTATGTTATTTCCCGGGGGATGATTGTATCTGAATTTTTACTATTTGCTATAAACTTCCAGAATTTCTTTGAATAAACTTGAGCTTCATTTCTACAATTGCTATACTAAGTGACATATAAATCCGAACACCCAGTTTAAATGGTTTTATTTTAATAAAATTTTGTATAAGTACTTAATGAACCATAATAAGTAAATGATAAAAATTTCAAAATGATTGCACTGCTTTAAAGCCCTTTGACCTTTAATAATGTGTGGATGCACCCTGATGTGCTACGCATTCTCCAACGCGCCTAGGCATGCTTCTGATCAGGTGGTCAATGTCTTCCTGTGGTATCTCATTCCAGGCAACCACCAACTCCTCTGGAAGTGCTTCTAGAGTCTGAGGAGGACGTTGCAAATTGAGCAATCTCCTACCCATCATATCCCACACGTGCTCAATTGGGGATAAGTCGGGAGATCTTGGTGGCCATGGTAACAATGTGACATCATTATGTTGAAAGAACTCTATTGTGACTCTTGCAACATGTGGTCGGGCATTATCTTGTTGGAAAGTTGGATCTGCCAGGGTGTCAAGATAGGGTAAAAGATGGGGTTCTAGAACTTCGTGGATATAACGCTGCGCGTTCATGTTACCTCTGATGAAGATTAAAGGTGACCTGGAACCATAAGCTATAGCACCCCAAACCATAACTCCAACAGTGTGATGAACATGTCTTTCAACAAAAAACTGTGGATTCCTCCTTTCACAACGTCGCCTTCTAACCCTGGCACGACCATCGTGCATGCCTAAACAAAATCGACACTCGTCACTAAAGACAATACTGTTCGATTCCTGATCCCAGAGTGACCGTTGTCTGCACCACTCAAGGCGATTACGTCGGTGTTCTCGAGTTAAAGGGAGGACCCAGTGTGGCCGGTATGAAAACAAGCTAAAACTTCTCATTCGTCGGTAAACACTTCGCATGCCAATAGGTCTTCCGTGTTCTGCAAACCATTCATTTGCAATGGACCTGGTATTGGAGAAACGGTCCCTTAAGGCCAATAATCTTAGGCGGCGATCTTCACGGTCTGTTGTTCTACGGCGGTGTCCAGTGCCTCTTGCTCTTTGCGTACGGCCTTCTCGAAGCCATGCCTGACAACACCTAACCACAGTGTCTACACTTCTTTGCACTCTAACTGCAATTGCCCGAAAAGAAAGTCCAGCTTCCCGAAGTCCCACTATACGGCCCCTATCAAACTCACTAAGTTGACGAAATCGTACAGGTCTCCGTACTTTAGGCATCGTAACCGATCGTAAAGGATGTCAAGAACCAAAATCCGCCAACGTTGATTCTTTACTGCGGCTGAAATATTCATTTTTAGAGCGTTAGTGAATTAAAAAAAAGAATTATAAAAACCGGAATATCCAACTGATAAGGCTGAAAATTTTTTCACTTGTTATTTACAGTAAGATAAATACATTCACCAACTTTTATTAAAATAAAACCATTTAAACTGGGTGTTCGGATTTATATGTCACTTAGTATATATAACTATGAAACTGCTTAGATTTTTTCTCAATTCTGAGTGTTAATCCTAAGCTCCTAAATCATTATATAATTTGAATTGTATTTATAATATTGTATGGAACCCACGCACCTTCATATGTTTTCTTAAAAAAGGGCGAATTTAATGTGAAAAGTTAACAACTGTCAAAATGGCGGCTTAAGCTTGATCAACTTGTAGTATGAACTTGGAACCTGACTACTGACTGCATAATTTTGCTTATAAACAAATAGTAAGTTTGCTGCTTCTACCTATGCCGATACCGTTACGCAACACCATTTGAATATATCAGTTGCCAAAATATTCTGATAAATTTTAGATCATGCCATACCCCTTTTTGCAGACATTTTATTACGACTCAACAGGAACCATTTCTATTACACATAAACAAAAAAAACTTAATATCTTGCTAACACAGTCTATCAAAATGACTTGTTCTACTGTCAACAACATCCTTCAAAAAAGCATCTGCAAGAAAACCAGCGGCGAAGTAATGGGATCATCTTACCTGTATTTGAAAGAATTCGCCTATCTCCAAGAATATTGTTTTTGCCTGCCTATGCTGCTCATCATCGTACCAGTTCGCAAGGTACATCGCCAGACCCGATGGTAAGTGGAAAGTATAGTGAGAAGTCTTGTATTTCACAATTGCTCTAGAATATAAAAAAATCTTCAATAGGTGTATATGAGACCTTGGAATCGGATGCAATACCAATTCGATGATTGTCGCAAACAGCGTCGTGTTTATCGACAATGCCATACGAAATAACTAAACAGCAGATGCTACTCGCTCTTGCACACACACACACACACACACATGAATTGAGTGATAAACTACAGCTGTTTTCGGCTCCAATACATATTGTCGATATTATAGTTGCATCTTCAGGCATTATTATGTTTTATATAGAAGATCAACATAGCAAATACACGTCCATGAAAAGCAAGTTGTGGTGCTGATAATGAAAAACATAAATGTGAAAGACATACGTTGGCGCGAAGATTTTTATGGTGGTAAGTCAAAATTCCAAAATGGCGCTAAGTAGGTTGACTCTGAACATTCCACGCAACGCCGTCATTAGTTCATAAAGGTTTATGTTCAGTACAAGATAGACCCTATCGAAATATGACATCGCAAGTTAGAAAAAAAGGTTAGTTACGAACATAATTGAATGGATCAAGTCCGTCGAACATCCTTTGCCTGCCCTATCTGTCGTACCGTCCATCTGGCAACGTCGCCTCTCCCCCTTACCTGATCGCACGATTAGTTAGACTGGCATGCCGGTTGGTGAAGCCAGAGAGCAGACGCAGGGATGCGTGTCAGGAACATTTGTCTATAGAGTTTTAAGGGCAAGTGTACGGTGAAATCTATGATTTGTGTCTGTGAGTGTGTAGAATTGCTGGGGTTGAAACTGTATCAATATAGTGACATCAAAAAATTGCGATATGCCCCCACTCGCAATTTTTTACGTCTAAATTTAAAAAAAAAAACATGTTTCACTTCAATGTCAAATAACGAGGTTTGAGCAATGTTTGGTTTTTTTCGCTTTTGGCCGATTTTAAAAAACTGCGAAGCCTTTTGGTCCTTGATATAGTAGGAAAAAATTGGAGAAGTACTTTACAATTTACAGACGGGCCAAGGATTTGTGGACAGACCGACTGACCGGCTATGCGTGACATGGTTTTTCGTGATCAAAAAAATATAATATCTCATTTACGAAATATTTCGCTATTACAATACTTCTTCGACAGTAATGAAAGTAATTCCTGCAGTTTTTTACTGTGGCTCGTCAAAAACCGTGAAAGACCTATATGGAATTCCGCCCTTAAAAAATATGCAAAACACTTACTGATATCGATTCATCGTGAACGCATCCAACCGCGGCGACCCGTCCGGGTTCTGGCACATCATGTCCAGACTCTGCCCCATGATGGTCTTGGTAGCGGTCTCATGGAGCAGCCCCGAGACGTATTTATAACACTCCTTTCCATCGAAATACTTCTTAAGCAACGTGTATATGCTGGCTTCCAGCAACAAGGCGTCGTTGATTGCCGCCACACCGACTCCCTCCTGCAGGTG